TTTTCATGAGATGGAGTCTTGCTGTCATCCAGGCTGGAGTTTGGTGGCGCGATCTGGGCTCACAGCAACCTCCGTCTCCCGGATTCAAGCAATGCTCTTGCCTCAGCCTCCCGAGTAGCTGGGATTCCAGGTGCCTGCCACTACACCCGGCTAATTTTTGTTTGTTTGTTTGTTTGAGATGGAGTCTTGTTCTTTCACCAGGCTAGAGTGCAGTGGCGTGATCTTGGCTCACTGCAGTCTCCACCTCCGTGGTTCAAGCACTTCCCCTGCCTCAGCCTCCCGAGTACCTGGGACTACAGGCGCGCACCACCACACCTGGATAATTGTTTGTATTTTAGTAGAAATGGAGTTTCACCATGTTTGCCAGGCTGGTCTCGAACTCGTGACCTCGGGTGATCCACCCTCCTCTGCCTCCCAAAGTGCTGGGATTACAGACGTGAGCCACCACGCCCAGACTATTAGTTTTTACTGTGTTTTAATGAAATATATGTCATGGGCCGGGCATGGTGGCTCACGCCTGTAATCCCAACACTTTGGGCGGCCACAGCAGCTGGATCACAAGGTCAGGAGTTCGAGACCAGCCTGGCCAACATGGGGAAACCCCATCTCTAGTAAAAATGCAAAAATTAGCAGGGTATGGTGGCAGGTGCCTGGAGTCCCAGCTACTCAGGAGGCTGAGACAGGAGAATCACTTGAACCCAGGAGGTGGAGATTTCAGTGAGCCGAGATGGCACCACCGCACTCCAGCCTGGCCGGCAGAGTGAGACTCCATCTCAAAAAAAAAGAAAAGAAAATATATGTCATGAAGAACACGAATGGTGCAGATCTAGCTTGTTGATGACTTTTCACAAACTCAGCACAGCCACAGAAACTGCTCCTAGATCAAGAAACAGAATATGCTCTGCACCCAGGAAGCCCCCTCACCTGGGGCCCTCACAGTCACTGGCCCCCAAAGGGTGATTTCTGACCCACTGCCCACCCTCCGCTTCATTGTTGGTTTTCTCGCCCTCTTTTGTTGGTGCGCAAATCTTAACTGTACAATTGGCTCTACACCCTCATCACAATAAAGGCCATTGTCATCTCCCCAGAAAGTTCCTGGGTACCCATTCCCAACCAGTCTGCCCCTGCTCCAGGCAACTGCTGATCTGATTTCTGTCACAATGGATTGGTTTTGCCTATTCCAGAACTCCATGTGAGGGAGCTCACAGAGGATTGCATCTCTGATGCTGTGATTTCCCAGTGTTGCTGAGTAGTATCCATTGTATGAATGCACAGTTTGCTGGGTCACGTGTTAATTCAAATGTTTGACATGTTTCCAGTTTGGGGCCGCTATGAACTAAGGCTGCTGTGACCATTCGTGTGCAGGTCTTTGTGTAGACTTGCGCTTTCGTTTCTCTTGGGTACTACCTAGAGTGGAACGGCCAGGTCACATGCTAGGTGTGTGTTTCACTTGATCAGAGGCTTGCAGACTGTCGGGGAGCACCCGCACCACCTCACAGTTCAACCTTAGCTGTTTTCATTTTCTTGCCTTACTGCACTTTTCTTGTTCCTGATTGCTTAAAGGAATTATTAATATTTCAACATTTCCCATAAGTGTGATGCCTGTAGTATTTGTAAGGATGATGGTTTTGGGCGTTTTTATTGTTTGTTTTTTTGTTTGTTTGTTTTTTGAGACGAAGTCTAGCTTTGTTGCCCAGGCTACAGTGGTGCGATGTTGGCTCACTCCAACCTCTGCGTCCTGGGTTCAAGCGATTCTCCTGCCTCAGCCTCCTGAATAGCTGGGATTACAGGCGTACATCACCACGCCCAGCTAAGTTTTGTATTTTTAGTAGAAATGGGGTTCCACCACGTTGGTCAGGCTGATCTCAAACTCCTGACCTCAAGCAATGCCCTGCCTTGGCCTCCCAAAGTGCTGCCAGGCGTGAGCCACCGCACCCAGCCATAATCGTATTTTATAGATGCCCTTTATCAAGTTAATGAAGTTCCCTTGTATTCCTCCTCTGATAAGAGTTTTATCATGAATAGGTAATTTCTGAAACACTTTATCTACATTTGTTGGGTTAAGCAAGATTGCTAGATTTCAACAAGCAAAATAGCAGTAGGCAGAGAGTTCTTAGAGGTTTTTTTTTTAATCTCCTAATACAGTGAATTTCAATGATTGATTTTTTTCCTATGTTAATATCAAACAAACTTTTTATTTACAGAATAAACCCAACTTGGTTGTGATGTGTTACCATTTTTAACATTGCAGGATTTGGTTTGCTGATGTTTTCTTTCTTTTTTTTTAAAGAGACAGGGTTAGTGGGGCACAGTGGCTCATGCCTGTACTCCCAACACTTTGGGAGGCTGAGGCGGACAGATCACTTGAGCCCAAGAGTTCAAGACCAGCCTGGGCAACATGGGGAAACCCTGTCTCTACAAAAAATACAAAAAATTACCTGGGTGTTTTGGCATGTACCTTTCAGTCCCAGCTACTCTAGAGGCTGAGTTGGGAGGACTGCTTGAGCCCAGGAGGCAGAGGTTGCAGTGAACTGAGATTGTGCCACTGCACTCCAGCCTAGATGACAGAGTAAGACCATGTCTTAAAAAAAAGGGGGGGGTCAAAAAAGAAAAACTCCTGGGTTCAAGCAATCCTCCCACCTTGGTATCCCAAAGTGCTGGCGTGTGTGAGCTGTGCCCAGCCTGCTGATATTTCATGTGGGATTTCTGCATCTGCATGTGTGTGTGAATGAGGCGTGTGAGTTTTCCCATGTGCCTTTCTCATCAGGTTTCCATACCAAAGCTCTGTAGGCCCCATAAGGTGGCTTGGGAAGTGTTCCCCTTTCTTCCTTCTGCAGGAAGAGTTTGCTTCAGGCTGGAATTCTCTTGTGCTTGCATTTTGGTAGAACCCACTGGCAACACTCTATGCGAGGGGGTGGTTTATGTAGGAAGATTTGTGGCCATTGTCCCCTCTCAGGTCCATTGCTCTGTTTTTTGTTTGTTTGAGATGGAGTTTCGTTCTTGTAGCCCAGGCTGGAGTGCAATGGCTTGATCTTGTCTCACCGCAACCTCCATCTCCCAGGTTCAAGCAATTCTCCTGCCTCAGCCTCCTGGGTAGCTGGGATTACAGGCATGGGCCACCATGCCCAGCCAATTTTGTATTTTTAGTAGAGACAGGGTTTCTCCATGTTAGTCAGGCTGGTCTCGAACTCCTGACCCCAAGTGATCCGTCTGCCTCGGCCTTCCAAAGTGCTGGGACTATAGGCGTGAGCCACCGTGCCTGGCTGTTTGGTTGTTTTCTTGTTTTTTGTTTTTTGTTTTTCGAGACGGAGTTTCACTCTTGTTGCCCAGGCTGAGGTGCAGTAGTGCAATCTTGGCTCACTGCAACCTCCACCTCCCGGGTTCAAGTGATTCTTCTACCTCAGCCTCCCGAGTAGCTGGGATTACAGGCATACGCCACCTTGCCCAGCTAATTTTTGTATTTTTAGTAGAGATGGGGTTTCATCATGTTGGCCAGGATGGTCTCAATCTCTTGACCTCATGATCCACCCGCCTCGGCCTCCTAAAGTGCTGGGATTACAGGTATGAGCCACCGCGCCCAGCCTGTTTCTTTTTTTATGGAATCTCGCTCTTTTGCCCAGGCTGGAGTGCAGTGGTGTAATCTCGGCTCACTGCACCCTCCACCTCTGGGTTTCAAGCAATTCTCCTGCCTCAGCCTCTCAAGTAGCTGGGATTACAGGCTTTATTTATTACAGGGATTATTAGCCACCACACCTGGCTGATTTTTCTGTTTTAGTAGAGACGGGGTTTTGCCAGTTGGCCAGGCTGATCTCAAACTCCTGACCTCAGGTGATCCGCCTTGGCCTCCCAAAGTGCTGGATTATAGGCGTGAGCCACTGTGCCCAGCCCCATTGGTCTGTTTTAGTAGGTTGGATTTTTCTAGAAATTTGTCTATCTCATCTAGGTTGTCAGACAAGGAATAAAATTCATAAAACCCTCTCTTGTTTCCTGTCTGGGGTTTTGTCTTATTGTACCAGTTGTTTATGCCCTTTTAAAAAAGCAGCCATGCCAGACGGTTGTCTGTTTCTATTAGTCTTTTTCAAACACCAACTTGCGGCTTCGTTCATCTTTTCTTTGGGTTAGCTTTTCATTTTATTAATTTTACTTGTCATTATTTCCTTCCTTGTAATTTGGCTTGCAATTCTATGCTTTTTCTCACCTTTTTTTTTTTAATTTTTGGAGATGGAGTCCCACTGTTGTCACCCAGGCTGAAGTGCACTGGCACAATCTCAGCTTACTGCAGCCTCCGCCTCCCGGTTCAAGTGATTCTCCTGCCTCAGCCTCCTGAGTAACTGGGATTGCAGGTGCCCACCACCACACCTGGCTAATTTTTGTATTTTTAATAGAGATGGGGTTTTGCCACATTGGCTGATCTTGAACTCCTGACTTCAGGTGATCTACCCACCTCGGCCTCCCAAACTGCTGGGATTATTTGTGTGAGCCACTGCGCCTGGCCCTTTTTCTCACTTCTTAAGTGAAATGCTTAGCTCCTTATTTTTGAGCCACTCTTTTTTGCTAATGTAAGCATTTGAGGTCACATCTCACAAATTTGGCTACATGATACTTCTGTCGTCCCTTAGTTCTACTGAATTGAATTTTCAGGCTTTCTTCTGGAACACAGGAGATGCGTTTATGCCTTCTGGGTCAGGGGTGGAGAGCTGGCACAGGCTTGAATCTCGGGGCTCTTCTGTCTGTATATCAGGCAAGACAGATATGCTTATGGCCCAGTAGTGATCCTGAGTAGTGCCCAGATCACCAAGGGTGGAGGATGATGTATGTAGGTTGTGTCCCCAGCCACTTCTAACCACACACCTATTCCCTCTGCCACAGGGTGACCTGGCCAAGAAGAAGATCTACCCCACCGTCTGGTAAGTGTGTCCCCCCACTGCCCTTGTGACCTCCCGCCAGGGACAGGCCTGGTCCTGCCCTGCCCGCACTGATTACGGCTGTTCTGCCCTCAGGTGGCTGTTCCGGGATGGCCTTCTGCCCGAAAACACCTTCATCGTGGGCTACGCCCGCTCCCGCCTCACAGTGGCTGACATCCGCAAACAGAGTGAGCCCTTCTTCAAGGTGAGTGGCCTCAGGGCCTCCCCCGGCCTGGTTCTGCCCTCTCTGCCAGCCCCCAGCATGGCCAGCTTCAGGTGGCCACCAGGGTACCTCCCCCCATCCCATCCCGGGATGCTCTCCTCGCCTCCTGCCCCGCCCCCCCCCGCTCTTGTACTTCCTTGAGACCCCCATTACCAGCTCCATGACCAGGACTCACGGGTCCTATCCTGTTGTGCTCTGCTGCGTTTTCTCTGCCAATCACAGTTAGGTGTCATGATTTTGGAGAGAGAGCTTTCTCCAGTGTATTTCTCCCAGGTCAAAATGTACTGAAATCTGGCCTGTGTCCTAAGGCACAAGGGTTCCAGCCTGGGACAGTGTCTGTGCTGCCTCCTTTGGCCTCCCTCTCTCTGGATGTGCAGAGCTGCTGAGATGGGGCTGAACCCAGTGTGGGATGGGGACACTGACTTCTGAGGGCACCCTCCCTGGGCCTCCAGGGAAGACCCTCCACTTCCCTGGGACAACACACACGAACTCCAAGACAGGGGTTGACATCTGTCTCTGTCTGTCCGTCCGTGTCTCCCAGGCCACCCCAGAGGAGAAGCTCAAGCTGGAGGACTTCTTTGCCCGCAACTCCTATGTGGCTGGCCAGTACGATGAGGCAGCCTCCTACCAGCGCCTCAACAGCCACATGAATGCCCTCCACCTGGGGTCACAGGCCAACCGCCTCTTCTACCTGGCGTTGCCCCCCACCGTCTACGAGGCTGTCACCAAGAACATTCACGAGTCCTGCATGAGTCAGATGTAAGGCTTGTCCTTGCCGTCCCTTCCTGCCTCCCAGGCTGGCCCAGGCAGTGCTCCCCACCGCGATTGTGTCAGGGGCCGGGGATCTAGGCAGCCTGTCTGTCCCCTGCAGCATCCATGGTGCCGGGGCCATCCCCACTGGGACCACAAGGTGGCAGCATCGCTCCACGAAACGCTCACCACCTGCCTGCTCTGCTTCCCCAAAGGCCCGGCCAGGCCGCAGGGTGGCAGCCTCGCTCCGCGAGTGCAGCATGGCCCACGCTGGGTGGTTTCCCAACCCAGGCAGAGGCTCTTGTTTTCTGGCTGGCTTTGAATGCAGGGGTAGTAAAGCAAGGGTCCTCTTCTCATTTTCAAACCAATGAGGAAGCCATGCCTTGGACGCCTCCTCCTTCTGCTCCCCTATGGGCCTTCAGGCTACTCCGACCCACTGGGGACCCAGCATGAGGCAGGAGGGGAACGGGCCCCCAGCAGCATGCCAGCAACACCACCCTGGCACCCAGGGTAGGAAGGCTTCCCAGAAGGTGTTGAGCCAGAGGGTCACCTGGGAACACAAGGCAGGGGAGGTGGCCATGGAGGCGAGGAGTTTCTGACCCCTACTCCCCTGGGAGGGCACCTGAATGATGCAGCTCTGACCCTCACTCCCTGAAGAGGGGTTCAAGGGGGTAACACAGCTCCGGGCTCCCAGCAGAGGCTGGAACCGCATCATTGTGGAGAAGCCCTTCGGGAGGGACCTGCAGAGCTCCGACAGGCTGTCCAACCACATCTCCTCCCTGTTCCGCGAGGACCAGATCTACCGCATCGACCACTACCTGGGCAAGGAGATGGTGCAAAACCTCATGGTGCTGAGGTGGGGCCAAGCCCTGGCTGGGGGACCAGGGTGGGGGTGGTGCTCAGGGGCCTCACCTGGCCCACTGCCTCCACGAGGACGTATTCCTCCAGAACTTGGACAAGGGTGACCCCTCACATGTGGCCCTTGCACCACAGAGGACCAAGGGCGGTTCCTCCACCTTGCCCCTCCCTGCAGATTTGCCAACAGGATCTTCGGCCCCATCTGGAACCGGGACAACATCGCCTGCGTGATCCTCACCTTCAAGGAGCCCTTTGGCACTGAGGGTCGTGGGGGCTATTTCGATGAATTTGGGATCATCCGGTGAGAGCTCTTCCCCTTTCCTGGGAGGCTGGCACAGGGTGGCAGAGCCAGTAACCCTGCAGGGCTGCCCTTCCCTGTCTTAGGGAGCTTCTCCTCACCATGCAGTTCAAAACCTGAGTGTCTGAGCTGTCAGACGGGGCTGGAAAGGGCTGGACCCCAACTCAGCCAAGCACCCCAGGGTTTCATGATTCAGTGACAGCATCACCATGTCCTTCCTTGATTTAAGAGGACCTGGAAGACAAGGGGGGCCAGGAAGTGAGTCTTGCAGCTTGTCACTAGGAAGCCTTGTTTGGGGCCCCCACGCCCTTGAACCAGGTGAACAGGGCCGGGAGCTAAGGCGAGCCCCGGCCTCCTCTGTCCCCAGGGACGTGATGCAGAACCACCTCCTGCAGATGCTGTGTCTGGTGGCCATGGAGAAGCCCGCCTCCACCAACTCGGATGACGTCCGTGATGAGAAGGTGGGGGGTGTACCCCAGTCCCCAGGACCACGCCCCGTCATGGGCCCATCTGTGACGAGGCACTGAGCAGGGGTGTGCACGTAGAGCAAGTGTCCTCAACCCCGGAGAAGTCACCAGCTCTGAGCACAGCTTGGCCTCCCAGAGGTGACCTGGACTGGCAGTCACGAAGCCCAAGTTGTCATGTCCCAGGTCTGACAGTCACTGTGTGACTAGGGAAGGCCGTTGCCTCTCTGGGCCTCAACTTGTCCATCAGAATAGACTTGAGATGGACCAGGGTGGTCCTGGAGGGCCCTCAGGGAGGGGCCCTGAGCTGGGCCTCTGGCAAGGTGAGCAGAGCCAAGCAGGGGCCGCCTTCTGCCCTGAGGGCTGCGCATCTGTGGCCAGAGTCATCCCTGCACCCCAGCTCAACACCCAAGGGGCCCATTCTCTCCCCTGGCTTTCTCCCAGGTCAAGGTGTTGAAATGTATCTCAGAGGTGCAGGCCAACAATGTGGTCCTGGGCCAGTACGTGGGGAACCCCGATGGAGAGGGCGAGGCCACCAAAGGGTACCTGGACGACCCCACGGTGCCCCACGGGTCCACTACCGCCACTTTTGCAGCCGTCGTCCTCTATGTGGAGAATGAAAGGTGGGATGGTAGGTGACACCTTCAAGGCCCAGCAAGGCGGAACTGGGCATGCCCTCGGGAGACACCCCTCGCTGGGGTCAGACCTGCTTGCTGCTGGGCAGGGGAGCCAGCCGTGCGGGACACGGGACCCTGCTATAGTTGCTTTCACGTTTGCCTGTGTGGGCACTGGAGCTCCCACTGAGACACTCACGCCCTGGTCCACACCCCGAGAGCTGGTGCTGAGGCTGCCCTTTCTGCCACGCAGGAGTGCCCTTCATCCTGCGCTGTGGCAAGGCCCTGAACGAGCGCAAGGCTGAGGTGAGGCTGCAGTTCCATGATGTGGCCGGTGACATCTTCCACCAGCAGTGCAAACGCAACGAGCTGGTGATCCGCGTGCAGCCCAATGAGGCTGTGTACACCAAGATGATGACCAAGAAGCCAGGCATGTTTTTCAACCCCGAGGAGTCGGAGCTGGACCTGACCTACGGCAACAGATACAAGGTGCCCCACAGAGAAGGAGCAGCATGGAGGGTGGGGGGCCTGGACCCGGGGGACTCAGCATGATGGCAGGCAGTGACATGAGTGAGACACCCTCACCCTCACAGAACGTGAAGCTCCCTGACGCCTACGAGCGCCTCATCCTGGACGTCTTCTGCGGGAGCCAGATGCACTTCGTGCGCAGGTGAGGCCCAGCTGCTGGCCCCTGTGTGCCTGTGGGGAATGGGGTGGCCTTTGCCCTCCCTCCTTCCCTGTGTGCCGGCCTCCCAAGCCCCGTACCATGTACCCTCAGCGACGAGCTCCGGGAGGCCTGGCGTATTTTCACTCCACTGCTACACCAGATTGAGCTGGAGAAGCCCAAGCCCATCCCCTACCTTTATGGCAGGTGAGGAAAGGGTAGGGTCTGGGGGCAGAGCCCAGCAGGCAGGGGCGGGTTGAGGGCGGAGCTGCCTCATGCCTTTCCTCCACCCGTCACTCTCTAGCCGAGGCCCCATGGAGGCAGATGAGCTGATGAAGAGAGTGGGTTTCCAGTATGAGGGCACCTACAAGTGGGTGAACCCCCACAAGCTCTGAGGCCTGGGCACCCACCTCCACCCTCGCCATGGCCACCCTCCTTCCCGCCGCCCAACCCTGAGTCGGGAGGACTCTGGGACCATTGGCCTCAGCTGCACATTCCTGGCCCTGGGCTCCGGCCACCCTGGCCCGCCCCTCGCTGCTGCCACTACCCAAGCCCAGCTACATTCCTCAGCTGCCAAGCACTCGAGACCATCCTGGCCCCTCCAGACCCTGCCTGAGCCCAGGAGCTGAGCCACCTCCTGCGCTCACTCCAGCCCAACAGAAGGAAGGAGGAGGGTGCCCATTCGTCTGTCCCAGAGCTTCTCGGTCACTGGGGCTCACTCCTGAGTGGGGCCTGGGGCAGGAGGGAGGGACGAGGGGGAGGAAAGGGGCGAGCGCCCACGTGAGAGAACCTGCCAGCCTCAGTGCCACTTGACATTCCTCGTCACCAGCAACATCTTGAGCCCCTGGATGTCCCCTGTCCCACCAACTCTGCACTCCGTGGCCACCCTGTGCCACCCATAGGCAGCCTCCCTGTTACAAGAAAAGCAGAAGCAGCAGCTGGGACTCCTCCCAACCTCAATCCCCTGCCATTAAATCCGCAAACAGCCCCTCCTGTCCCCTTGTCATTTGCTTCCCTGAGGACCCATTTCCTCGTCCCACTCCCTGAGTCACCCGGGTGCTTCCTCTGTGGACTCCCCACCTTGGGTTCCTCACCTCTCGTTCTGACCCCATGTCCAGCCGTGACCATGCCTGGTGTCGGAGACACTTCTTGAGTTCCCCTCCACTCCACGCATATTGTCATTGTGAGACCGGCTTGAGGTGCAAGGACGTGGGGTCACCTTCCACTCTTACTGTCCATGTCCCTGCCCCACCCAAGATGGTTTTCGGCAACACTGCCAGTCCACAGATCCCAGAAGTATTTAGGAAGGAGAGAGGGTGGGTTTTGTAACTGATATCAGAGGCCAAGGGGGATGGGATGGTCCACAGTGATACACAGCTACGGCCCGGCCGCCCCTTCCAGGCAGAAGGGCCCGAGTTTGGGGGCTGCCAAGGCACGTAACCAAGTGCCACTCACCGGGCAGCTCTCAGCATAGGCTGATTTTCCCAGTTCTGGAGGCCAGAGTCCATGTTCCAGCACTCTCGTCAGAGGCCCAAGGGGAGGGTCCTTCCTGCCCTCTCCAGCTCCTGGGGAACCAGGCATCTTGGGCTGGTGGTCACCTCACTCCACTCACTCTGCCTGTCTTCTCATGGTCTCACCATGATACGGCTTCTCCTCTTCTGTGTCCTCGTAAAGACACCACTCCAGTATGACCTGCTTCTAACTCAAGTAATGATATCTGCAGACCACCTATTTCCAAATAAGGTCACATCGGGAACTCCCAGGAGACATGCATTTGGGGGCCGCTGTTCAGCCCCTACACTGCTCCCCACACGGGCAGCAGCCCCTGGGTGTCTCAGTGCAGCATGTGTCGTGCCAGGGAGATGGCAAGACCAGACACTATGGTGCAAGACCTGTACTCGTGGCCTCGGTTCTAGGAGGTGAGGCCAGCAGGGAACAAAATGACCAGGTGGTGCTGGCCTTTGTCCTTTGCGGAGAGCAAACCAGTGGCCTGGAAGTGGCCAGGCAGGAGTGTTCTACCTGCAGCACGGGTGAGAACGCACACCCTGGGCCCTGCAGGTAGCAGGGCCCGATGTCCTAGGATGAAGGAGGCCTCTAGTGAGACCTGTGGCAACAGGGACATACACGCTGCATCCCGGTGTTCAATTCCTGCTCTTCCTGTCCCCTGCATGGGGAGTGGCACCTCTGAGTTTTCAGAGGGAGGAAGTATACGAAGTTCACCTGGACCCTAGATAGGTAAAGGAGCTTGATGGGGGCCAAGGCCAGGTCATGGGCTCTTATGGGCTCTGTGTGCATAAGATTGGAGGCCAAGCTTCCGCCACGGGGCAGTGGTTTTAGTCCTCTGTCCTGGTTCCTGTGGCTTCCAGAAGGGGCTGTGGCAAGGCTGAAAGCTGGGTTGGGCTGGGGACTGATGGGGTGTGGCAAGGCTAAGCAGGTTAGATTCCAGGACAGGGCACAACACCCAAGTAAGACTGGGTGCAGCAGCTCACGCCTGTAATCCCAGCACTTTGGGAAGCCAAGGTGGGCAGATCACTTGAGGCCAGGAGTTCAAGACCAGCCTGGCCAACATGACAAAAATATGTCCCTACAAAAAAAGATACAAAAATTTGCTGGATGTGGTGGCAGGCACCTGTGGTCCCAGCTACTTGGGAGGCTGAGGCAGGAGAATCATTTGAACCTGGGAGGTGGAGGACAACAGGCAACTGTCCCGTCAGCTCTGAGCACCTACTTGGGTGGAGGCAGGAGGTCCCAGGTGAGGGCAGTGCTGGGGCCACAATGGGAGAGAAATGAGAGATCAGGCCAGGGCATTCCACTGTTGCCTCAGTTGCGGGTGCCTACACTGAGACAGGGACATAAGCCCCAGAAAACACACTACAGGAGCTGTACCCTGAACAAGAAGGCAGTCCTCCCCAGCCCCCTGGAGCTCACAGGAGCACTGAGGCCCTTGCCTGTGAGCCCAGATCCACCCTGGTCCATTCCACAGGGTGACTCACTCAGCCTGCCCGACCCCTGTTGACCAGTTCAAGGCTGGAGCCTTGTTTTCACCCCTTCTCTGTCTGCAATGCCAAAGAATTCAGTTACAATTTGTTTTTTTGTTGTTGTTGGAGACTGGATCTCACTCTGTTGCCCAGGTTGGAGTGCAGTGGCTCAATCACAACTCACTGTAGCCTCCGCCTCCCAGGCTCAGGCATCCACCTACCTCAGCTTCCTGAGTAGCTGGGTCTATGGGCGTGAGCCACCACGCCTGGCCCGCAATGTCCTTTTTTTCTGAGATGGAGTCTTGCTGTCACCCAGTCTGGTGTATACTGGTGTGATCTTGCCTCACTGCAACATCCACCTTCTGGGTTCAAGTGATTCTCCTGCCTCAGTCTCCCAAATAGCTGAGGCTAAAGGTGTATGCCACCACGCCCGGCTAATTTTTGTATTTTTAGTAGAGACAGGGTTTCATCGTGTTGGGCAGGCTGGTCTCGAACTCCTGACCTTAGGTGATCCACCCGCCTCAGCCTCCCAAGCTGCTGGGATTACAGGTATGAGCCACTGCGCCCAGTCTGGCAATTTACCAGGTTTTTTGTTTGTTTTTGTGTGGGTTTTTTTGTTTGTTTGTTTGTTTTTGAGACAGAGTGTGGCTCTGGCACCCAGGCTGGAGTGCAGTAGCACGATCTCGGCTCACTGCAACCTCTACCTCCCGGGTTCAAGCGATTCTCCTGTCTCAGCCTCCTGAGTAGCTGAGATTACAGGTGCGCACTACCATGCCCAGCTAATTTTTACTTTTAGGAGAGACGGGGTTTCCCCATGCTGGCCAGGCCGATCTTGAACTCCTTACCGCGTGATCCATCTGCTTCAGCCTCCAAAAGTGCTGGGATTACAGGCGTGGGCCACCGTGCCTGGCTGCAATTTAGTCTTTTTTTTTTTTTTTTTTTTTTTTTTTTAGATGGAGTCTTGCTCTGTCACCAGGCTGGAGTGCAGTGGCACAATCTCACCTCACTGCAACCTCCACCACCTGGGGTCAAGCGATTCTCCTGCCTCAGCCTCCCGAGTAGCTGGGACTACAGGTGTGCGCCACCACACACAGCTAATTTTTGTATTTTTAGTAGAGACAGGGTTTCACCATGTTGGCCAGGATGGTCTCGATCTCTTGACCCCATGATCCACCCGCCTCGGCCTCCCAAAGTGCTGGGATTACAGGCGTGAGCCACTGCACCCAGTCAACAATTTACTCTTAAGTGCACTCTACCTCGTGGGTCTTCAGAGGCCCTGGATTGGTGTCTCATCTCTCAAGGTTTCACCCCACGTGGGAGTGGGCAGGAACTGGAAAGAGCCCCCCTGCCAGACCTCTGACACTCGTAGTGTACTCAGAGCTTCACCTCCCAGCCCAGACCTGCAAATTAAGCCAGAGGAGAATTTCAAACCTAGCCTGACCCCTTCACACTGAGTCCCAGGTGCCACAGCAGCACAGACCCAAATGCCTTAGCTCCTCTGCTGCCAGTGTCTGACATCACATCAATTTGCGTCCAGCAACCACTGAAACCAGCAATGTGAGAAGCCCAGAGAGTACTTAAAACTCTCTCCAGCTCCTCTCCCTCCTTCCATCCGAGCCTGGCCCACTGCTCGGTGGCTGAGCCAGAAAGGGATGGGAGTGGAGAAGGGGTCTTCAGGCTGAGCTGCGTGGCGGCGACTGTTGCATTGTCTGCTCTGAGGAGCAGAAAAGGAGAGGGAGAGGCACAAATGGGGCGGGGCTGACTTGGGGCCTTTATTTTCTAGGCTCACCACTGCCCTCTCCCTGTGAGAAGCAGCCGGAAGGGATTGTCCTTCCTGTGCTGCAGGAAGAGAAGCTGAGAAACTCAGCTATGAGACCTGACCAGACCATCCCAGGACCACACCCAGACATACAGGCCAAAGCTGGGGTCCCTGAGAAGGCCTCTTGCCTCCTAGAGCTTCATTGCTTTCCCCTGCTAGAACACTTGAGGAAGCTTTGAGGGAACAAGAAGCAGACTGAATTCTGGCTTTCAGTAAGGACAGTTAGACTCTATGGCTGGACACAGTGTCTCACTCCTGTAATCCCAGCACTTTGGGCATGTTGCTTGAGCCCAAGAGTTCGAGACCAGCAGGGCAACATGGTGAAACCCTGTCTCTAAATAATACAAAAATTAGCCAGGCATGTTGGCACACACCTATAGTCCTAGCTATGTAGGAGACTGAGGTGGGAGGATCGCTTGAGCCATGATCACACCATTGCACTCCAGCCTGGGCCACACAGCAAGACCCCATCTCAAATTACATATGTATTATATATATAATTTGATATATAATATATATGATGTATACATAAATATAAAATATATATATAATGTATATATAAATATGTATATGCACACATATATATTTGTAAGGCCAAAATTTTCAGAGAAAACTAGGACCCCCATTATATAAATTAACCCCCAAGTTGCCTTTGCCCACCCAGGAACTTTTCCTTGACAGCCTTATAAAGCGAAGTGGACAGAAATCAAATCTTGAGGCCCCCAACTTGCTTCCCCATCATACTGAGAGTAAACCCAGAATTGCAACTGAGCCAGGGTTCAAATTCCCCGGGATTGACCATGGAATCCTAAGCCTTTCACTTGGCTTAAGGGATCCTGAATGGGCAGTTCCCCAACGCCCAGTCTGGCAGAACCCAATGCTAACCCTCTCAGGAGAGACTCCTTCCTCATACAGGTACTTTTTAAAGCATGAGAGCAAGCACATCATCAGAGATAACTGGGCGCACCAAGAAACAACATTGCAAGAGAAACAATGAGCAATAGCGACAGATCATGCAGTCTTCCAGCGCTGGAATTGTTAGCCAGACATCATAAAATAACCGTACTTACCAAATTTAACGAAATAAGAAGTCATGGTGGGACAGATGCAAAGAACAGGAAACTGTATAAAGTGATGTTGCCAACTTACTCTATCTGGTAAACCCAATAGAGTATCTGAAAATTACAAATA